CAGAAATATGGCTGCTTGGTGATAACTCAAGGAAATACCCGAGTAATGTATCCTTGTTGGTCAGAATATTCATTTGTTTTCATAAGCAGTCCTTACGCTTTGTTTTGGGAGGCCACTGCATTGGAAATAACGGAGGATGTGGTTATTTTTTTGTTTTGTTTTGTTTTGTTTATCATTTTTCGTTTTCTTGTTTATTTAGTTTTTTTTGTTTTGTTTATCTTTTGGTTTTATTGTTTTTTTTATTACTTCATGTTATTGTTTATTTACTCATGTTTTGTTTATTTTTTTCATTTTATTGTTTATTTACTTTTTTGTTTTGTTTATATTTTGGTTTTATTGATTATTTACTTTTTTATTTTGTTTATCATCTCGTTTTATTGTTTATTTACTTTCATTTATTTATTCATTTTAGCTGTTGTTTATTTATTATTTTTATTTACCTTCAATTTATTGTAATTGCTTTCATTGATTTATTTATTTTAGCTGTTATTCATTTATTCAATCTTTTATGTACTATATTTTCATAGTATCTGCTTCCCTTTATTTGTTTATTTTTCTAAAATTTACTTACGAAAGAGAATCTAGAAAAAATGAGAAAAAAATAGGCAACGGAAGTCTGCTTGTGGACATAACAAGAGGAAGGAGGAGGAACCGAAGACAATTATTGGAGTAGCAAGAACAGCGGATCTTTGGGCTTTGTCCTTGGGGAGAAGAGGCAGATTGAGAGGATTGAGAAGATTGAGAGGAAACGATGGATTGCAAACCGCGCGCGTGGGTTGTGAATCACTCTGCCAGATGCTTAAGGGAAATCCCCCTTCTCTTTGGGTTCTTCTTTCTCTCTTTGTCTTTCTCGATTCTTGTGAGTTTTTCGATGGTGCAAACCGCGCGCTGTGAATCACTTGCAGATGCTATCTTCTCCCTTCTCTTTGGGTTCTTCTTTCTCTCTTTGTCTTTCTCGATTCTTGTGTTCTCTTTCTCTTTCTCTTTTTTTCTTTTCAGTTTTTCTTAATTCTGTATTATTATTATTCTGTAGATTTATCAATTCTTTATTCTCTTCGTCTCCTCTCTCTCTTTTCTTCATTTTCTCCACTCCTGTAATCCACTTTCCTCTGTCTCTTCCCCCATCTTCCAAACTTCTGTATCTTCTCCGCTCTCTCTTCCCCCCATCTCCCTCTCTCTTCCCCCTCCCCCTTTCCCTTTCTCTTCTCTCTTCTCCCTTCCCTCACCTTCCCACTCCTGTATTCCCCTTCCCCCTCTCCTTTTCCCCTCTCTCTTCTCCTTCCCTCACTTCCTACTCCTGTATTCTCCTCTCCTCTCCCTCCCCCTCTCTCTCTCCTTCCAACATCTTCCCACTTCTTTTTCCCCTCACACCTCCTCCCCCTCCCTCCCCCTCGATAACTTTAATTTGCTCCTCCTCACCCTGTGTTTTCCTCCCCTTCCGTTTCAAGATCAAGGACACCATTAAATCTGTCTTTTATATAAGTTATATATATTTTTAAGCAGTCGTGATCGTCGTTCCGTGCATTAATCAGTTTTTTTTTGTTCTCGTGAGGGTATTTTTTGGCGCCATTTTGGTCAGCGTGGCGACGAATATTCTGCGGGAAATAACGATTGTGTGGAAACTGCGTCGCTGTGTTGCTGTCTGATGGGTTTTCCTAATTGTGAGTTATGCTCTTTTTTGTGAGCGATAAGACACAAGGTATATAGTCTGTCCATTGTTTGTTTTTTGTTTTTGTTTTTTTACTGTTTACGATTTTTTATATTATCGATCTGTTGTATATGTTTTTATTTCTTATTCTTATTATTTATTTTTAATTATTATTTCTTTTATTTTTTATCTCTTATTTAAATTTTCTATTTCTTAATTATATTATTTCGTTTATTTTTTGCTGATTTTTTTTATTATTTCTTTTATTTTTTACTTATTATTTTATAACTTCTTTTTTTTCATTTTTAAACTTATTTTATTATATATTTTTTTTTTTTCATTTTTCTTTTTTTGGGGGGTGAGGGGGGTGGGGAGGGTATATACAGCCATTTCTCACCGACTATCCTCCCCCCCCCCCAACCCCGCAGCCTTCGTCGCGGCAAAATTTCAAACAGCAGATCCACTCCGAGAGCATTCCTGGCCCGGATGCCCTTCCGTCGGCGCCGCCCGCCCATCTCCCCTGCACCGACGGCGATGCACCACGAGACCGCCCCCGGATCGAGGTCGCAGGCTGGGCTAACCTACTGACCTCGGCTCCGACAGGCGCTCTCTAACTTCTTTCTATTCTGCCCCCGCCGACCCCCTTCCCTCCCATCCCCCCTTTCTTATGATTATTGGGGATATTTTTTTGTTCTTCTTTTCTTCTTCTGTTTTTTTTGTCTTCTTCTTCTTCTATTTTCATGTCTTTTTCTTATTATTATTCTATTTCTTGTCTTTTTCGTATTATTATTCAATTTCTTAGTCTCTTCGTCTTCTTCGCTCAATTTCTTGTCTTCTTCTCGTCTTCCTACTCGTTCTTCCTTCTTCTTCTTCTTTTCTTGTCTTTCTCTCTCCTCCTCTCCTTCTTATTTCCTGTTCTTATTATTATTTTCCATTTCTTGTTTTCTTCTTCTCCTTCTCTTTCATTTCTTCTTTTCATGTCGATCTTACTGACGATGTCCACGCCCTTCCATGTTAGTTGCCCAGCCACGAAGGTAAACAGGTGATTCCCGCACATATTTTCATTATATAAATCCGCACATTCACTCACCGGACGTGTGTACATGTACTTACGTTTATATAAGTCCGTACAGTACAAGTCCATAGAGTAACCTTGGCGGACGTGTGTGCAGTTTCTTAAAGCAGTTTCTTAAAGGCACATTTATATAAGTACAGTAACTTGGATGTTTTTTTTTTCCAGTACTTAAACCCGCACACGGTAGCGCACATACACTGAGTCACACACAAGCACTTATATAAACGCCTCTATATTTTTCCGTTTTCTATTGGAAATATGTCGTTCACGTTCATTTTAAAACAAAATAGATAAATAAATAAGAAAGTTATATTTCAATAGAGAAAAAAAATCAGCTTTATATTCTAAAGTTGATATCAAAAGAAAGGTAATTGTTTGGTTAAAATGAATTATTCTGTCTACCCATTGTGACGTCACTACATACGCTGCACGCACTGTATGGAACGCACGCGAACGCCGGGAAAGTGTATGTAGAATGATCTATTTATTTTATTGTAGTAACTATCTATTTTATTATATTATATTTTTTTTCATATTCTTTATTATTAATATCTCGTTGTTTTGTATGTAGAATGATCTATTTATTTTATTTGTTTATTTTTTTATTATTTATTATTTTTTAATGTTTGTTGTTGTTTTGTAGAGTGATCTGCTTGCACATTGTTGAGAATGGCTATTGGTTTTTCACGTTTCTCCTCGCTTTTGTGGAGATATTTCTGTCGGCAGCGTTGTAAGGAGTATAGAGGCATTCTTGTATTTGGTATAGATTTTGTCAGTGACCATGTTGGTATGTTTGGGGGGTATGGTATTTCCTCTCTCTGTCTCCGTCTGTTTATCTCTATGCCCTTTCTTTTTTTGCTTGTTTCCTATCTATATCTATCTAGCTTCTAGTTCTCTTTCTATATTTGTCTCTCCCCTCCTTCATTCATTCACAATCTTTGTTGTCTCTCTCGTCTCTCTCTCTTCTTCTTCTCTCTTCTCTCATCTCTCTCTCTCTCTACTTCTGCTCTATCTCTCTCTCTCTCTCTCTCTCTCTCTCTCTCTCCTCTGTTTTCTATATTACATTCTTCTTTTTGTTCTTTTGTTCTCTTTGAGTAAGCATTATTTCCTGTCAGTATTTCTAAGTATTGTTTGAAAACAATATGGAAACCTGTCCAACTTGCGTGACAAAGCGAGAAAGATTAGGATATCTTAGATTCAGGAAATGATATGTCTTGACCGCGTAAGCTGTTTTTTTTTTTTTGGGGGGAGGGACTGGTTCCTCCATTTTCTCTTGGTCTTGTGTTTTATTTTTTATTGTAATGATAATTATCAGTTTTTTTTATGTATAAGAGTAACTGTCGACGTGTAAACCTACTTTAACGTCTGAACATGTGTAAAAACACACAAGAGATATATATATATATATATATATTACGGGGAGAAGAGGAGAGAGAGAGAAGCGAGGAGAGGAGAGCGGGAGAGGGAGAGGAGAGGAAGAGAGAGAGAGAGGAGGGAGAGGGAGGAGAAGGTAGAGAGAGGAGAGAGAGAGGAAACAAGCGGACCCGAGAAGCGGAGAGAGAGGAGAGAAGGAGAAGAGAGAAGAGAGAGGAGAGAGACGCAAGACGAGAAGGACAAGAGAAGAGGAGAAGAAGGAGAGAGAGAGAGAGAAGGAGAGAGAGAGAGAGAGAGAGAGTGAGAGTGGAAGTGAGAGTAGAGAGAGAGAGAGAAGAGAGAGAAAATAGAGACATAAGAGAGAGGAAAGTTCGAAATGTTTCTTTGACGAGAAACGAAGCTGATGCAAATGGTAAATTCACAGAAAAAATGTTTACTGGTTTGGGAACTAAAATTTGTAAGAGACGAAAAGTGAAGATGGTATGTTTGTAGGAGTAATCGTGGTTTTCCTATGTTGTGGGTATGTGGTTTTCTATGTTGTGGAGTAATGACTGGTTTTCCTATGTTGTGGAGTAATTTAGTTGGATTTTTCTACCTTAATGTTGTGGGTAGTATGTGGCTTTTTCTAATGTTGTGGAGTATGTGTGGTTTTCCTATGTTGTTGGGAGTAATGTGGTTTTCTAATTTTATCTTATATATATATATAATATATACTATATATAATTAGAGAGAGAGGAGAAGCAGAGAGAGAGGAGAGAGAGAGAGAAGAGAGAGAGAGAGAGAGAGAGAGAAGACAGGAGGAAGAATGAAGTTGGAGGGAAGAGATAGAGGAAGCGGGGGTGGAGGGGAGAAGAGGGAGAGGAGGAAAAGAGATGAAAGAGAGCAAAGGAGAGAGGCAAAGTGATGACGCACAAAGTCGCCGAAATAAGGCAGAGAACCTCGAGACGCCGTGGCAGACGCTGGTACGTCCTGAAGGTGCTCGACGTGACTGGAGAGCTGAAACACAGTCTTCGTTCACATCTTGGGCAAACCAAGGACCCTCCTGCCTGCAGTTACTCGGTGGTGCCTTCCATTTTTTTCCTGTCTTTCTTTCTTTTCTTCTTATTTTCTTTCTACTTCTTCTTCTTTCTTCTTCTCTTCTTCTTTTTCTTCTTCTTCTTCTTCTTCTTCTTCTCCTTCTCCTTCCCCTTCTTTCTTCTCCTCCTCTTCCTCCTCCCCCTCTTCTTCTTTTCTCTTCCTTCTTCTTCCCCTTCTTTCTTCTACTTCTCCCCCTCCTCTTTCTTCTTCTTTTTTCTTTCTTCTTCTTCTTCTTGAGAAATTTGGGAGATAAACACAGCTTCTTGGCAGGAAATCGGCCGATACCCAGCGCACGATCGTCGCCTGCGATTCCCGTAATGATTACAATTTTCCCTTCCCGATACTAAGCTATTTTTGCGATAGCCTTTACTTAAAGCTTTTAAGGAACAGGTTATTTTGTTTACCTGAAAGGACAGGTAATAACGAGTGTCGCCTCAGAGAATGATAATAATAGTAGAATGATAATGATAATAAATAGGTAAATAATAAGTAAATGAAGTAAATAAAGAAAATAAAACACATACAGAAACTTCCTCTTGTTTGTGCTGTCTTTAGAAAATATAGAAAAATATGTGTAAATCAAGGTTCCTCGTGTTTGTGTTGTCTCTAGAAAATATAGAAAAAAATATATGTAAATCAAGGTTCCTCGTGTTTGTGCTGTCTCTAGAAAATATAGAAAAAAATATATGTAAGTCAAGTCGAGCGCTACAGAGTCTTGGCGGCCGCCGAACAGAGCGAGAGAGGCCGTAACAAGCGTTGGAAAGTTGCTTCCTCCAAGACAGGTTTCGATGCTTCCGTAGGCGGTGGGTTGAGGTGGAGGGCGGAGGGGGAGGGAGGGAGGGGGCGTGAAGGGTGGTTTTGCTTGGAGGTGGGTGGGGTGGGGGCAGGGATGGGGGAGGGAAGGGAGGTGTTTTTAGGGGGGAGGGTGGGGGGAGGTGTAAGAGGCACGTGTATATGTATTCTCTCTTTCTTTTCTCTTTGTCTGTGTCTGTCTCTCTTTGTCTGGCTGTCTGTATGTTCTCTCTCTCTCTCTCTCTCTCTCTCTCTCTCTCTCTCTCTCTCCTCTCTCTCTCTCTCTCTCTTCTCTCTCTCTCTCTCTCTCTCTCTCTCTCTCTCCTCTCACACACACACACACACACACACACACACACACACACACACACACACACACACACACACACACCTATTCACTCGCTCTCTCATCTGTTTTTTTCAAATTATACATTCCTGCGATCGGGTGAGTGTGTATGTTCGCGTGTTTGTATTTATCACCGTGTATTTATGCTCCTTGCGTACCCACATCCTTCGACATGAGGAGAAGGACACACACGTCCCCTCACACGCGCGTAGCTTACTGAAGACCCAGACAAGCCTCGCGACAAGCAAAAAGGAAACGCATTTAGTGGGTGTGTGTTCCCTCCGTGAGCTCCTGGTGCGTCTCTCGGGTTGCGGGGACGATCACGAAGGGGCCGATGTGTCGTGTCTTCCGTCTTGGCGTGACCAGCTGAGTGAGGTGATGCGTCTTGGCGTGACCAGCTGAGTGAGGTGATGCGTCTTGGCGTGACCAGCTGAGTGAGGTGATGTGTTCCCCGCAGGTGGTCGTTCGTGTGGGTACTTTTGTGTAGGTGGCATAGGATTATACGGAACGAGTTTTTTTTTTTTTTTTTTTCTTTTATCGGAGCGATGCGAATCATCAACCGAAACGGGGATGGAAACGAAGCGTGTATCCTGCATCCTGGTGAGAGAGGGAGAGAGAGAGAGAGAGAGAGAGAGAGAGGGAGGGAGGGAGAGAGAGAGAGAGAGAGAGAGAGAGAGAGAGAGAGAGGAGAGAGAGAGAGAGAGAGAGAGAGAGAGAGAGAGAGAGAGAGAGAAGAGAGACAGAGACAGACAGACAGACAGACAGAGACGCAGTTAATTCCCACGTTCCTATTCATTGCTCTTATATCGCTTTTTTATCACAGTCGTACACATGAGTCAATTAGAAATAGCTAACACGCTAGAGAAAAGGCCTGGGCGAAGCTAGACATGGCAAATCTAACTGAACTAAACTGGTTTTATAGTCAGTATTCATTCACTATCCTTCTCACTCTCTCCATCGTCTCTCTCTTCTCTCTCTCTTTTCCTTCTCTCTCCTCTCGTCTCATCTCCTATCGTCTCTTCTCTCTCCATCTCTTCTCTCCCCGCTCTCCTACTCTCCTCGTCTCTCTCGCTCTCTCTACTCCTCCTTCTCTTTCTCTCTCGCTCTCTCCCTCTCTCCTCTATTATATATACTCACCCCTCACAGACTTGTTCCTCCTAATCCTACTCGCCCCATTGTACCCCTGCCTGTACTGCAACCCGCCAAGGTCCAACAGACTGCATATCTCCGTGGCCTGCAACTGGATGGTATTCCCCCTTCCCTCCCCCTCTGTCTCCCTCCTCTTATCACCCCCATCCCTCCTCCCTAAGTATTCCTCCTCTGACCCCTCCCCCCCCTATACGCGGGCCTTCCCATCCATTCTGAGCCCCTTTGTGCTTCTCTGCCTCCCTCTGTGCTCCTCCTCTGACCCCTCCCCTCTGTGCTCCTCCTCTGACCCCCTCCTCCCTTCTGTGCTCCCTCCTCTGACCCTCCCCCCCTCTGTGCTTCCCTCTCTGACCCCCTTCCTCCCTTTCTGTGCTCCTTCTCTGACCCCCTCCCCTCTGTGCTCCTCCTCCCCCCCCCCCCTATAACGCGGCCTTCCCATCCATTCTGAGCTTGGAGATTCAAGGTCTGTTGCTTCTATGGACAGCATCCCCTCTGACCCTTCTCTTGTCGGACCTCTCAGTCCTGCGCTTCCCCTCTTGTATCTTTTTTTTATTATTATTATTGTTCGTATTTTTTTTATTATTTTTTTTCTTTTCTTGGTTTCCTTTTCCTGCTTCTACTTCTTCTGCTCCTTTTCTTGCTTATTCTTATCATCATCATCATCATCATCTATTTCTTCCTCCTCCTTTCCCTCCTTCTCGTATTCCTCCTCCTATTCTTGTTCTTCTCCTCTTCTTTCTCCACTTTCTTCCTCTTCCCCTTTCCTTTTCCTCCTCTCCTCCTCCTCCCTCCTCCATCCTCCTCCTCCTCCTCCTCCCACCATTAGCAACCTTCGTACTCACTTCCTTCTCAATTTTTCCTCTCTTCTCTTCCATTTATCCTCCTTCGTTTCGGTCGTCATTCTCGCAACTCACGCTTCCTACCCATCCTCTCTTTCTCTTCCCCGTATTTCTCTCCTTCCTTTCATCTTTCCATTTTTTCATTGGCATTCTCCATTCCTTCCTTCCTTCCTTTTTTTCATTGGCATTCTCCATTCCTTCCTTCTTTCCTCCCTTCCTTCCTTCCTTTTTTTATTGGCATTCTCCGTTTCCACCCTTTTATCACAAACAGTTTTAACAGCACAAAAAAAACACTCTCTTTTATTTCCTAAGTCAGGTTTTCCCCATAAAGCTACGGGGATAATAACACGAACGTTATATAACACCGTCACGTGTGTTTTCCTCTTCCTAATTCGCACATCACGAAGACATTGTTTGGTGGGTTTTTTTTTTTTTTTGTCTTTTTTTTTTCCTTTTTTTTTTACTTCCCCCTTTTCGCAACATAGCATTCATATAGTTATGCACACATATCATGAAACGCAATACAAACATATTAATGTGTATGGGTATATATATTTTTTCTTTTTACTTTGTTTTCCCTTTTTTTAATGCGCGTACAAGGATAATAAAATATATGTGTATTTTTTCTTTTTTTTTTCTTTTCGTTCTTTTTCTCTTTTTCTTTTTTTTCCTTTCTTTAATGTGCGTACAAGGATAATAAAATATATGTGTATTTTTTCTCTTTTTTTTTCTTTTCGTTCTTTTTTCTTTTCTGGTCTATTACACAGGGTGACCATCTGTCTCAGCCTCCCACGAAGCTGCGCCGAAAACACCCTGTGGAATTTTCAAGGGCGTCCGTAGCCAAAGGGTTAAAAAAAGGGCTCCACCTATTAAATTAATGTTTTGGGCTTTCCGACACTTCGAGGTAGACCGGGCCCGTTTGGTGGTTAAGGCGCTGAATGGACGCCAAAAGTCGTTTTCGATTTTATTTTTCGTTTTCGCTTTTCTCGTGTTTTTTTTCTTGTTTTTATTTTTTTCTTTTCTTGTTTTCGATTTTATCATGTCTGTTTTTTTTTTTTTCTTTTTCTTTTTCTTTCTTTTCTTTCTTTTTTTATAAGGCTGAATGATTGGGGATTGTCTTTCTTTTCTCTCTTTTCTTTCTTTCTTGTTTTCGCTTTTCTCATGTCTGTTTTTTTTTTTTTTTTTTTTTTTCTTTTCTTTCTTTTTTTATAAGGCATTGTCTTTCTTTTCTTTCTTTTCTTCTTTCTTGTTTTCGCTTTTTTTCATGTTCTGTTTTTTATTTTTCTTTCTTATTCATGCTTTTTTTTCTTTTTCTTTTTTTTCTTTTCTTTTCTTTTCTTCCTTTTTTTATAATGCTAAATGATGAGGGATTTGCGAGCGTGATAAATTTTGGGATTTGATTGTGTGCACCAGGAAGCAGGGAACGGAAGAAGGGTTGTACAGCATACTCCTTAACCCTTTCAGTTCCAGGTACAGGTTAAGGAGTGTTATGAATCACGTTTCTTGGGAATTTATGGGTTACCTCGATCATTAAATTTGATTAGATACAACCATTTTATTCAGGATGTTTTGAATGACGTGATAATCTGCGAAGATATGAATAGATTAAATGCTATAATAATAAATTAAATGAGATATGAATAGATTAAATATCTTCACAGATATGAAGATTAGATGCATAGATATGATCTTAATTTTTTTACCGTCTCAAGATACGAATAGATTAAATATCTTCACAGATATGAATAGAGTAAATGCATAGATATGATCTTAATTTTTATCCGAATAGTCAAGATATATAGAGTAAGTGCATAGATTATATCTTAATTTTTTTACCGTCTCAAGATACGAATAGATTAAGTATCTTCACAGATATGAATAGAGTAAATGCATAGATATGATCTTAATTTTTTTTACCGTCTCAAGGCCAGTCTTTCCCTGCGAGCAAATTCGAGAACTACGCATCTAGCACGGGAAAAATACCACATAAAAAAAAGAAAAAAAAAAGATGTTCCTCTTTTAACCATTACGTTCGACAGGATACTTGTTCACTTTAAGAAACCGCAGACATGTCCCTCCGTCTTCCCTTGAGGAGAATTTCAGGTTTGCGAAGTGGAATAATCATTTAGATGAGAAAGAAGTGTAAATATAGGGAGGGTGATGATTTGGGAGGAAAGGGGGAGAGGCGAGTGATAATTTTGCCTTGTTTTTCGCTCGTTTTTTTCTTCTTTTTCTTTTTTTTTTTCTTTTTTTCTTTTTTTTTTTTCTTTTTTTCTTTTTTTTTTTTTTTTTTCTTTTTTTTTTTTCTTCTTTTTACAAATGTGTTTATGGTTTCTGTAGTTGTACGATGGGACTTACAGGAGAGAAGAAAGAATGGAAAAAAAAGTGATTGAAAAATAGGATGTTCTTATTGTAGGAATTAATTGGATTTCGCAGCGATGTAGGATGAGGTCACACAGTTTGATTCTGAAAATAAATTCTTTCGAAAACGCAAATGCGACGTGGTTCTCTCTCTCTCTCTCTCTCTCTCTCTCTCTCTCTCCTCTCTCTCTCTCTCTCTCTCTCTCTCTCTCTCTCTCTCTCTCTCTCTCTCTCTCTCTCTCTCTCTCTCTCTCTCTCCCTCTCTCTCCCTCTCCCCTCCCTCTCCCTCTCCCTCCCCTCCTCCTCCCTCCCTCCCTCCTTTCTCTCTTCTCTCCTTCCTCTCTCTCTCTCTCTCCTCATTATCAATACACGGTTTTAGAACCTATAAACCTACCCCGCCTGGAAAAAAAACGAAAACGTTGGATCATTTCTTCATTAATCTTTCCTATCAATAAGCCGTTTGATATCTTCTCTCCTTCACTACTTGTAAATGTTCATATTTTTGAAATTTGGCTAATTCTTTTATATTTTTTATTTTTGTATTTCCTCTTTTTTCTATTGGTGGAGGAAAATCAGTATGTCTAGTATTTCTTTTTCTCTTTTTCTTTTTTCTTTCTTACTTTATGATCTGCTTCTTTTGGCCTTGCTTATTCCTGTACAGGCTACGCTTTTTTGCTACGTAATCTAAAGGCAGGAATATGCATTACCTGTTGCGGATAGTAAGCCAAAAAAGAGAAAAGATTGTCTCGCGATAAGATATATATCTATGTTTGCGTAAGAGGGAGAGAGAGAGAGAGAGAGAGAGAGAGAGAGAGAGAGAGAGAGAGAGAGAGAGAGAGAGAGAGAGAGAGAGAGAGAGACGGAGAAAGAGGGAGGGAGGGATAGAAAAAGAGAGAGAGAGAGAGAGTAGGGATAGAAAAAGACAGAGAGAGAGGGGGGGATGAGAGAGAGAGAGAGTTAAAAAAAAATAGGCAGAGACAAAGAGACAGAGGGACAGACAAGATATTCCCATCAAGCTAAGTGCGCAAACAATAAAACGATAACGTAACGATAAAATATTATGATCAAGAAGCTAATAAAAAAAGATACCAACGATAAAACAAAACAAGATAGTAAAAGGACAATAAAGATCACCCCAGCATTCATAACTCTTGGATACCCCTCCCCCCCCTCCCCCCCCTTCTCCTCCTTCCTCTACCCTCTCTTCGCTCATATCTTTTAGAGATTCTTGAGAGATAAGTGTAGTTCATTTATCTTGATTTTCTTCTCTTCTTGTTTGTTGGCATCTCTATCTATTTATCTGTTTATCTCTCTCTCTCTCTTTATCTCTTTTTCTTTCTCTCTCTCTCTCTCTCTCTCTCTCTCTCTCCTCTCTTCTCTCTCTCTTCTCTCTCTCCTCTCTCCTCCCTCCCTCTTCCCTCTTCTCTCTCTCTACTCTCTCTCTCTCTCTCTCTCTCTCTCTCTCTCTCTCTCTCTCTCACTCTCTCTCTCTCCTCTCCCTCTCTCCTCTCTCCCTCTCTCCCTCTCCCTTCTTTTGTCACATTCCGATGAAATACAAAGAGGAGAGAGAGTGTGTGTGTGTGTGTGTGATGTGTACCATGTGTGTTTGCCTATGTCCGTGTCTGTCCTTGTACGCGCCTGTGTACGTGACACGTTTTGCAAATACAGATTTAACCCACAATTTTCCCTCTTCATAATTCTTTAAATTCTTCTCCATCTCCCATTCTTTTTTTATTTATTTATCTATTTTTTTTCTGTCCGTTACACCCAAGTCCCGCTTTCTCCCATTCTTTCTTTCTTTATTTATTCTTATTTTTTATTTTTTATTTATGTTTTTTTTTT